GACTGATTTGCCACAGCCCGAAGCGAGGCTGTTGCTGTAGTTCGTGCTTCCAGCTACCGGGTAAGTTCCCCATCGGACTGGGCTTGGGGTAGTTCTTGTCTTCAGCCTGTTGGTGATTTCTCGTCTGCCTTTTGCCTTTTGGTGGTGATAAACGTGTGAGTGATTGCTTTGGGTTTTGTGATAGCGGCATGAAAAAAATAATACGGACGTTTCAACGCGTCAGGTCACAGGATTTTGCACATCAGGTTCTGGAGTTCCCCGAGACCTGGGCTGTAGATGCACATCCCTGAGAAATCATCAGTCCATGGCATCGAGAAACTGCTGTATTCCCTTTCTCTTCCTGAAGCGATCCTTGTGTCCCTGGAATATTGCTGAGCTTTCTGAAAGCCAAAAATACCCCTTATTATTCATGTAACAAAGTTCAGCCAAGCGTCCTGTGCTTGAGCAGGCACAGCTCAGGAGGGATGCTGACGAGGTTCAATGCTCTGAATTCCTGATATGGAGCTTGGTACTGTATCCAATTTAGCTTAGATCTGAGATCCTCAGTTACTTCCTTGGTGGATTCGTCACCCTGACAGGGAATGGAAATGAGAGGAGCATAGCAACAGAGTCTGGCAAGTGCAAATCTCCTATTTCATGTAATTGTGATGAAAAAAGTCCTTGTGCGTCCTGTAGTGCGGAGCGAAGTGATACTTTAATCATCTCTTAATGTTTGAGTGAAAAGATCGAATAACATTTTTAATGATTTCAGTAGGATTTGTTATTTGGGAGAGTTTGAATGGGGCCCAGATGGATTTTGGGGTGGGTTTTTTTTTGAGCACTTTTTAGTTTTCTAAATAAAGTAGATCTGAAATACCAGAAGCAGACACCATGGGTTCTGGAGCAATGTCAACAAGTATTGTTGTACTATAAACAGCAGAGATCTCTGTCTTGGCAGCTGCTGGGACCAGCAATAGCTGTCTTGTGTTCATGGCTGATCCTGACAACTGACTAAATTCAGGCATTTGAGTCCTGTCTTGCTTCAAATAGTTCCTTACTTGATGAGCTGAACTGTTTAAAAAAAAAAATTCTTTGGGCTCTTGCAAGATATAAATGTTGGAAATCATCTGGTAGCTGATCCCCTGAGATATTCCAGTGTCAGCTCAGAAATAAACTGTGGTATGTTCTTAATTTAGTTGTCTCATCTTTATTCCTTTTGCCTGTAGAAACAGGAAGTAGCTGATGCAAATTTCATGTTGCCGACAGCAGTTTGTCGGGCTTCACAGGAGCTGAATCTGAACAGAGGCGTAGGTTTGACTTGCTGCGGCTGTAAAACTAACGTTTGTGTCTTCCAGAATGTCTGAGCGAGGACTCGGGTTAATGTGCTGTCTCAGGCAACCGGAAGAATTTCATTTCTGTCATTTTTGTGAGAACTTGCTCACTCCTCTGAGGACTGGCCTTTGGCTGGGACCGACTCCTTGATGTTCTCCAAACAGGAAACTCCTCTTGCTGTGGTGTCGTACAGGATCAGCTTTGGGATAGCTTGTGTTTTTACAAATAAAATCCCTTCCTTTTATTGCTCTGATCAGTGTATCCAAACAGTCTAGTTGTAGATGAAAGCCTGTTTGCTGTACAGTGTGTTCAAAACCATGTTCCCAAGCTTTGATGGAAATAAAGGCTGGTTAATAGATTAACCAAATGTGCTATGAAAATAAATGGCCTTTCTGGCCCAGGGTGAAATGTGTTTGCTGCGAGTCCATAGCTTCCGCTCCATTGGTAATCAAAGTTCAATTGAATTTAAACAAGACCTAGATTTAAGTCCTGCGTTACAGTCCCAAAAGGGAGAGCTGCCTCTCAACTCCGCTGCTGTCAGCTGGAGAACTCTAACCCCCGGCTGCACGGCGTGGCTTGAAAGCCTTTCTCATCCCTCCTGAGCACAGGGCCGTGTGCTGAACAAAAAACATCTATTCGATTATCTCTGATCAGCTTCTGTGCTGTACTGAGATCTGTGAAGTCAGTTTGTCACTTACTGACAAATTATTTTGCGTTCAGAGTGATCAATAGACAAAACACTGTTGAGATGTGGCCCAAGGAGGTCTACTTTTTTTTTTTCCCCCCTTGCTAAATCTCTCTGCCTTGCAAACTCTGGCTCTTGATGTTAGTTACAACTAAATATTTTAATTTCGTTCTGGGTGAGTATGTAGGTAGCAGAAAGAGCTGTATCCACAGGGTAAAGGGCATAGCAAGGGTGAGTCAAGATAGCTTTAGCGAGGAGTGACTGAGATATAGCTGCCTGCTGTAGGACTTTGTGCTACCAGCACTTAGTTCTGATTTTGCTGCTGGTTTACCAAGTGACTTATCTTGCGAGTTATTCTAATGCTGCCCATTAAACAGAAATTAAAATGAGTTCACCATCTGCCAGATAGGGCTAGGTTACAAAGCTGCTATGGAGCACTGTGAGTTTATGGTTTCTGTTAGGGAAACCCAGGAAGGACGTGCCAAACGGCAAGGAGACTGGAAGGAATCTGAATTTCAAGGAACACTTTCTTGTTAAAGGACGTTAATCCCGACAGCATATCTAGAACTGATGCGATATGCTCCTCCCAACAGCATGTTTTATTGCTGGGGGTAGGAAGCAGCTTTCCATCTGGACATTCTGGTTTGTAATCCTGATTTGAAATGCAGTTTGTGACTCGGTAATGGGGCTGATCAGATTAGAGCCTCGCATGGAATGTGGTGGGGATCAGTGGTGCAGAACAGTAGCTCTGTCTGCCCGACACCACACTCGGTAAACCTGGTGTCCTTCCTGAACCCCTGCGTTACACCCCTCTATCTTGCTGCACTCTCGAAGCAGGGGAGTGTTTCTTTAACAGGTGGCTCTTTTGGGGGAAAAAACCACCCTTCTTTTAGTGTGCTGAGAGCGGGGGAGGCAGAGCCCTGCTCTTGGCTGCGCTCCCGCTTGAAGACGTGAGCCCCATTCTGGATGCGTCGTCCTCGGCTGCAGCCGAGCGCTGACAATCCTGTGGTCAGGATTTCTACATTGTACAGAATGAGGGGAAAAAAAAAAAGGTATTCATTACTGTTGATTATATGGGTGACCGCCCACAAGTTTCAGCCTCTCTGAACTTTTTTTGTATCTGGAAGCCATCCAGTTACTGCTGTCCAGTTTTAGGCAGAGTATCTGCTCTGGCTCACTCTTGCACAGAGGAGGAAACTGCTCTCTTCCTCTTGGAAGGGGGGTGGCCTCTCCCCCGCCCCCCACATCAGTGCTGCTTCTCCTGATGCAAGCAGGCGACGGAGGGGTGGAAAATGGTCTTGTTTGTCTTGTGACATCAGTGCCGCTTGTGACTAATGCTGGATCTGCCCCACATCCTCTGGAAATTGGGTGAAAACAGGCACTTTGGAGCAAGGCTGAGAAGGCTTGTGAGGAAAAGCAAACCCTAGTTAGAACTTCAGGCTTTGTTTCCGAGGGAGATCTAGTATCAGTTGGTCGAAGCAGCTGGGTAAACGCTGTCTTCCTTTTTGGGTATGCTGGGGAATGTGCTGGGAAGGACGTTCTCCTTCAGGCAGGGTTTTGAGCTCTCGCAGGCTGTTGGGATAAGAAGGAAGCTGTGTCCAGGCCGTAATCGTGAATCACGTTGTAAAATCTTTCAATGAGTGGTGATAAGACAAAAATGCAATTAGTGACTTGCTACTCCCTCCTTGCATTCCCTGTACATTAGTGTGCTCGGAGCATGACTTGTCTTGCTCCTTGGTGCAGAGTCTCTGCAAAGCAGTAATTAATGGAAAGTTTCTATGACTCTTAAGACTTTTCGAGATGAGACGCTGCAAATGACTTACGTACCTAAATCACTTTCCTGTGTTGTGCCTGCAGAGTAGGTTCTGCAGTTCAGACACCAAAGGCTGTAGAGGGAGAGGATGAACAGGGGCGCATTGTTGTCGAAGCAGCTATGCCTTCTTAGCTTGTGCAGCTGCTTGTCTTGGCATGTGCCAGGATGGCTCATTTTGCACTCCGATGCTCTGTGCTGTAGCGATGCTGGAGTTAGAGATGTTCCTCAGAGGAATTCAGGACTCCAGGAGGTCCCTGTGGATGCATTTGCAGAATCAAACCCACTAGTTCTAACCTGAAGCGTGTGAGCTCCCAGTGAAGCAGTTGTGCTTGATTTGATGTATGGTCGTAGCTGGGACCGTGGCCAAGGACTGACTGCAGTGAGATTCTGTGCAGACCTCGTGTTTTATTGAGTGGTGTCAATACAAGGTTAGAAGATGTAAGATTTAATGTCCTTATACGTGTAAGAAGCCCTTACAATGGGGTAGAAACTATGTGGCCATTAAGGAGCAACTGTGGCAATAGGAAGTGGCTGTGTGCAGGGCTGTTGTGTAATCTGAAATGTCCCTGCTAATGAGAGGGTACCCTGCTGTCCATCATCACGGCGCAGAACTAGGTGGAAATTGTTCTTCTCCAACTGGTAGAGCTTGCACCAGACAGCTGACCAGCCCTCTTCAGGGTTTGGCCTACGAGTTTCATACTGTCAGAGGATGCAAATAATTGTCTTCTGTCTGCGCAGGTTGTGGACAGCAGTAGATATGGAAAGGCTGGTTGAACGGTTGGAGAAGGCTGTGGAGCGCCTGGAGACGGTGTGCCAAGGACCTGGCATGTGCGGAGATGGCTCTTCCAAAGGTAAGGCCCAAAGCGCCTCCCCAGCAGCGTCGCCCCGTGGGAGACCCTGAGCTGAAGCGTCAGCCGGGTGGAGCGGCAGCGTCGGAGATCAGCAGGAGCTGGTGCGGGGCGGGCAAAGGGCTGTGAGATGAACTGGCTGGGTGCAGAGGGGAAGTGAATTTCGCAGCAGATACTGCGCAAGCGCAGAGGTGCCTGCGGTTACCGTCCTGCTAAGAGAAAGATTTCCTGTGGCTGCAGCGCTTCCCTCGTCTGCGTTCAGCTGCCGGCTTCGGGCTGAGCCTCCTGCCTTCGATCAGCGTGACCCGGGAGGAAGGTTGAGCGTGGAGCGGGGGGGAGGCGCAGCGTGCGTGTGGGAGTGCTCCCAGCCCAGGAGCCCACCCAGTGCGTCGTGGTGATACCTGGGTTCTGGTTCCTTCTCTGCAGGAGTGGCTCAGTATGTGGAGGCTTTTGATGCCCTTCTGGCTGGCCCAGTAGCTGAATACATCAAGATCAGCAAAGAAGTTGGTGGGGATGTGCAGAAGCATGTAAGGACTCACATTCTTCTCCCTCTGCTCTCAATAGATGTTGCTTGTCCTTCAGGCCTGCTAAGGACCGAGTTTGCTGTCAGTGTTTGCATTCCTCTAGCGCTGTATTCTAGGATGTTGATAGGCCCTGAGGATTCAAAACAGATGCAGATGCCCCGATAACCTCCAGCAGGTTGCCACCTACACACACACACACAATGACTCAAACCTCCTTCTTGAAATCTTTGGTGGTTGGGTGTCTAGCTCTCTTTATAGACTTCAGCACATGCCTTTAGGAGGCCTGTAAACAACCCAGCCCAAGAGCTTTTGCACTCCTGTGAGTTTTCTCTGAGGATGGGTGTCTCCAAGAATACGTGCGATGAGATCAGCATAGCTGCTTTCTTACAGACTAGGAACCGCAGGCAGCGGGAGCGTGAATGACGGTTGGTGTTACGCTGGGTGCAAGGGAAGCTCGCTCACTTTTCTCTCTATCCTTAGGCTGAGATGGTTCATGCAGGCTTGATGAGTGAGAGGGCTCTTCTGGTGGTGGCATCTCAACATCAGCAGCCAGCAGAGGTAAGTCTGGGAAATCGTTTGTCAGAAACCTTGTACGCCCTTACCTGCGAGCAGGGGATGACTGCCACCGGAGGGGAGTCTGGGCCGTTACAGTTGCTCCAGACAAGGAACTGGAGGGGGACTGGAGACACTTGGCGTCCATGAGGTGGCACTTGCTAAAAGCATGAACTGCTCCGGGTGCTCACCCAATACTGGGCAGAATTCTGGAGGTTGAGCTGCAGAACTGGTGCTTTCCAGTCATTAGAGCAACAAGTTTTCTGTAGCTGTCAGAGCAGCTTGGGAGTCTCATCTCACGGTGTCTCTCGAGTTTCACCTGGCACCAGCACTGCACAATCACTGTTCCCCTGCGATGTGCCCTGCAGACAGGAACTTGTCTGAGATAGGAGCCACAGCGGAATTTGCATCGAGCGTGCTTTTTATTATGCGATGCTTATACTTTCAGGCATCAAACTCCTTCTGAAGTATAACAGACGCTTGGCTCTCTTGAATGGCCTCTGAATAATAGCTGGGCTTTTAGGATTGATTTGTCCTTAGCAAATTTAACACTATACTCTAGGCTGCCGCTTCTCAGAGGAATGTGTGACTGAGAATCTGATCCTGAATGCATTGGCTTTTCCCTGCTAAGAACTGTTTTTCCTGAGCAACAGGATCCCACCTTGCTTTTCTTTGCAGTTATTATCTGGCTCAGTCATGGCTTCTACTGTTACATTGTGGTAGCTGGATTTCTATGCTATTTTCCTATTTACTGTGAAATATATTTGCATCTTTTTTCCTCAAGATCAGCATTGGAGGGTTGTTTATCTTTCACCAGGCTTGCTGAGATGCTGCTCTGCATAGCCTCTGGTCTGAGAATCTGCTTATAAATTCCACTGACACATTATAAATAAAGGATTATGAGCAAAGAACAGCCTTAATCTAGTGTAGGTCTTTGTGCAGGTTGTCTTGCAGGAGTCTAGTCAGTTCCGGAGTAGCCAGTTTAAAATGCAAAATATATAAACTCTCTTTGCTTGTGGCAAAGAGTTTTCCCATCCTGTTACTTGACAGTGGTGCTAGGCTGGAGCTTCTGGAAGTGTGGCCTGGGTGGTGGTGGTTGGAACCTCTCTGTTTTCAGCTAAATAGAAGGGACAGCAAAAGGAAAAGCCAAGGCTTTGAAAAGTTAAGTTTTGGCCAAATTTGTCCCTCACTGCTGCCACCAGCAGGAGACTTTCTGATCTTAAAGGAAAGAAAAGTTGCCTGAGAGGCATCTCTGGAAATGTGTAATTGGCTGGCTGCTCTGCTGTGACCTCAGAAGACTTCCAAGCACTTTCCGTCAGGAGTCCAAGTGGACAATGCACAGAAACAATTTTTATCAATCAAATACTAAAGGTTTGGATTGACTTGAGAAGTAACTTGAATCCTGAAGTCTAGCTTGATAAGGGTGACTTGAGAACTTGCTGCAATTCTGATTGTAATGCAGGCTGTAGATCCCAAACTGCAAAACCCTGCATAGCACCCCTTTCTCTGAGGGTTTGCACAGGAGAGGAAAAATTTGACAAACTGTCTTGGAACAAAAGAATCCAGGAAAGGCAAATGCTATTTCTGTCCTCGTTACTAATAAGCTTTGTCAGTGTCTCTTGGATTGAACATGAGTCACAGTTCTTGGCGTACTCCCATAGTACCAATCCGGTTGGGAGCTATGACTTCAGCCCTGGAGGAGCTAGCCTGCGGGACCGAGCTCGGCTCGCGGGGAGGGCCAAGCCTGGACAGGAGCTGTAGCAGTAACTTGTGCCAGTTGGAATCTTCCTCAAGTGACCATCATCTCAGCAGAGCCGCCCATGAAAATGGGCAGCCGTTCCAGAGCAATACTAATGTGCTTAATTGTTATTGTCCCCCTTGTTGTGCAGAACGCGTTTTCATCGCTTCTGAAACCGATTTCAGAGCAAATCCAGGTGGTGCAGAATTTCAGGGAGAAGAACCGTGGTAGCAAAATGTTCAATCACTTATCGGCAGTCAGCGAGAGCATCCCAGCCCTGGGCTGGGTGGCCCTGGTAAGAACTCCAGTGGGAAGTGGTTTCCTTGGGCTGCTGGGCAAAGTCTGGCTCCCTGGTCAGCTATTTCATGCTAACGTGTGCTTTCTCCTCTTTAGGCTCCAAAGCCTGGTCCTTTTGTGAAGGAAATGACCGATGCTGCCATGTTTTATACCAACAGGATCCTCAAGGAGTACAAGGATGTGTAAGTTCACCTGCTCTCTTAAAGATGTCACTGAACACAGCTAACTGGGTGTGTAGGGGCTGCTCCAGTATCTAAACACAGCTGCTTGGTTGTCTTTTTAAAGGCAGGGTTTATTTGTAAAGCCTCACTTAGCTGTTCTTTCCTGATCTGAGGGACAAGATTCCTTGCATTCATGTTGCAGCTGGGATCTCTGGTAGCAAGTGTGTTGCTGCTCTTGTCTTGGCATCATCTGGTAGCTGAACTGTTTCCCAGGGCAGCAGGTTGTGTCTCAGGAATGGGTCTTGTTGGAAGTACCAAACTCCTCCGTTAAAACAGGTTATAGTGCAGGGCAGGCCTGTGGCCTTCTGCCTGCAGGTGCAGGATTAATACTGAAGCTGGAATGCAGTACTGGAGGTGCGAGGCAGTTGTGCTGGTCCAGCTGCGACTTGCCTGTAGGCTGAGAGGTGGAGAGCTGTAAAGAACTGTGTGTAGTCCTTGGGTTTTAATGGCAAATGCACCTGCTTACTCCTCACGATCTCCTTGTGTCCTCAGAGATAAAAAGCAAGTGGTCTGGGTGAAAGCTTATCTGAGTATCTGGACAGAGCTGCAGGCCTATATCAAAGAGTATCACACCACAGGGCTGACTTGGAGCAAAACAGTAAGTGCTGGCTATGTCTGTAGAGCTTCTTAGATGAGTATTGCATGATTATTGCAGCAGATACGGAGCTTGTGCAATTGCCTTTCCTCTTGCCGGTCTCTTACAGGGTCCTGTAGCAACAGAAGGGGCTAAATCACCCTCTGGTCCCCCAGCCGGGGCTGCGCCTCCCCCACCAGGCCCTCCTCCCCCACCAGCTCCTGCCCCCACGAGCTGCAGCACAGACGACTCTGCCTCCCGCTCCGCGCTCTTCGCCCAGATCAATCGGGGAGAAGGCATCACCTCTGGTAGGTGGAAGTAGCTGGCGGGGGGGGGGGCCAGCCACAAGCAAGAGTACTGTTGTGCTGCAAGTCCTCGTTTTGCCGCTGCCCCTCAGTACACCTGCTTCCAAAATACCTTGTACAGGCTTGCAATAACAAAAGACCATCTGGTCTGAGGATGAGGCTGGGCCAGAAGCAGCCCTGAGGCAGTTTGCAGGGACAAAGGGAGCGCATCGGGAGTTGGTTTTCTCGGCCTCATCTGTCAGGTGTAGCAAGAGATTAATGTCTAGCTGGAACAGAGGGAGGGAGCCCTTTGGTTGCCTGCACGTCTCCAGTACAAAAGGTGCGGTTTTGCAGCTATTCATATTTGCACAGGACTTATCTCTCTCTTTTGCAAGGTTAACGCATGGAACAAAAGCGAGGTGCTTGGCTCAAGGCTTTTTCCAGCTGCAGAGTGGAAGAGCTGGCGCCTTCTGGTTCTACAGTACATCTTGTGTCCTCGTCAATCTTGCATCAGTGTGTTTTGCTCCCTCTTTCATTTGCTGTCACTCATGCTTGGGCTCAACAATTTATTCGCATTTTGAAAAATGTTATCACGCCGATCGTTGTCATTGCTGACGTCTGGGGTTTGTGAAACTGCGTTCTTGGAGGAGAGCTGGATCTCGGGTTTCTCTTGCAGGCTTAAGACATGTTTCAGATGACATGAAGACCCACAAGAATCCAGCACTGAAGAACCAAGGGGGTCCTGTGAGAAGTGGACCCAAACCTTTCACTGCTCCCAAGCCAGCCTGTAATGCTAATCCCTCCCAAAAAACCTCAACAAAGGCACCTGCGTTGCTAGAATTAGAGGGCAAAAAGTGGAGAGTGGTGAGTGCCTGGCATGGGCATGAGCGGGTTGGAGGGATGGGAGCTTTGCAGCAGGGGAAGAGGGTCTTTTGAAGGCCTTTCTTTTAAGAGGCACCAGCCTGAAGGTACATGCAGTTTGCTTTTAAAGGGGCTGCGCTGCCCTGTTGTTCACATGGATTAATTGGTCTGCTTTCGGAATATGAAGTGTGTTTTCCCTGCCTTTTCAGGAAAACCAGGAGAATGCCTCTAACCTGGTAATCAGTGACACAGAGTTGAAGCAGGTAGCATATGTTTTCAAGTGCACAAATAGTACACTCCAAATCAAAGGCAAGATCAACTCCATCACCCTCGGTAAGTGGAGAACCCTGAAAACTGCCGCTGTGTGTTGGTCTGTTTGCAGAAAGATGAATCTCCAAAACCTTTCTGTGACCCACTCTGTCCTTTCTGTGCAGATAACTGTAAGAAGCTAGGTCTGGTATTTGATGATGTGGTGGGCATCGTAGAAATCATCAACAGCAGGGACGTTAAAGTTCAGGTGAGCGTCTGCAACCTGTTCTCTGCCTGGAGTGTGACTGCTGCGCTGTGCAACAGGGCATCTGTAGCATCTGCTACTTTGAGTAGTTTTATTTCCAGAACATGAATGTGCATCTGTGGAGGGTACATGAAACACCATCTGTCCTACTGCAGCTCACCCTGCCCAGCCCTTAGGAAAGGGCTGAAATCTGTCATGCTGAGCTGCTTCAGGGCTCTAGGTAAAAGATAAGTCTCTGTGAGGCGGGCAGCTCGATAGGACTGCCAAAGTAGGAGGCCAGCAGTAGAATCTACTCTGATTCCAGTTTCGGTATCTGATTTGGGATGGTCTCTTTGCCCAGCGTCCACTGTAGTTTTGCTCTAAAGAGATCAAAACAAGAAATAACTTTGGATTTTTGCCAAAGGTGGGAGTACTTGAATCCAGCATTTCTGCAGCAGGGGGGCTGGAGTCAAACCTCTTGCCTTGAAGGCAAGTGTGAAAGAAAAATGTTGTGGTTGCTTCAGTTCAAGCTAATGCTCCTCTAACTGCTGCTTTGACCGCTCTGCTAGGTAATGGGTAAAGTGCCAACGATTTCCATCAACAAGACAGACGGTTGCCATGTGTACCTGAGCAAGAACTCCCTCGACTGCGAAATCGTCAGTGCCAAGTCATCAGAGATGAATGTCCTTATTCCCACAGAGGGTGGTGACTTCGTAAGTATTAGTTTTGAGATCCTTATGGAGGTCTGCTTGGGGTTGGGGTAACACAGGCAGGATTTGTGTTTGGGGCCCTGCAGGGGCTGTCAGTTGCAGCGAGGTGTGGAGGGACAGTTCTAGACTCTCGACTTCAGAGGTTGTGAATGATGATCAGATGTTAAAACCAGCAAATCAAGTTGTTTGTCTTTCTAGTGAGATACTTGCTGGTTTTTGAGAGCTGCTTCTTCCTCAGGATCTCTTGGGGACAGAACAAGCAGCGTTTGTGCTACAGGAGGGGACGCAGCATGTATTTGAGGGAAGAAATGCCTGACGCAGTGGGCAGTTACTAGACTCAGCCATAGACTGATTTTTGACAACAGATTTCTATTTTTTACCCTCCAGACTGAATTCCCTGTCCCAGAACAGTTCAAGACAGTGTGGAACGGCCAGAAGTTGGTTACCACCGTGACGGAAATTGCCGGCTAAGCAGAAAAGCTCCAAGGCTCATGCCCTCCCCTGGCCCCGCTGTGGGATAAATCTGCTTTCAGATGATTCTCTTAGATTTCTTGTACCTTTCTGCTCTCAAACTGCTTCTCTTCTACCCGAGAGACACAGCTACCTGCCATCACTGAAATACCTCTGCCTGGGGTTTGGTGTAGGTGGCGGGTTGGTTATCGTCCACATCTATTAGCAGGAAGGTGGTTTGTTTCGTTTCGTTTTCCTCCCCTTGTCTGATCTAACAGCACCAATTGGTCAAGTCAGATTTTCGGTGAACTTCACAGCCAGTACTGGCAGTTGGCTTTCAGAGTGGTGTTCGGTTTTTTTTGTATTGCCTTTAAGCAAACTGTTCATGTGAGAGAGGAATGTTGTTCCCTTTTTAACAAGCAATGGTTTATGTCGGGGTCCAGAGTACCCAGTTGCTAAGGCAGATGTCTCAAGAAGGTCCTGGAAGCTACTAATTCCAGCTGTATGTACAAGTTGGTGGCATTACAGGACGTAGGCGTGGCTTTGTTGGACCAAAGGCTGAGGACCTGGGCCGTAGCACCTCCACCCTGATTTCTCTTTCGTCATTCCTACTAGCTCAGTGTATTTCTGATTGTGCCATGACAGGAGGCTCTATATTAACCAGTGCCACAGGAAGGCTGCAGTGGTGTAACTGTGGTTACCCCCTGGCCAGTCCGGCTGGTAGCTTGGAGCTGAGCACCTCTTATTCCATGAGCCCTCCACCTTTGCAAGGGAATCTTTGCCCCAGGGCTTCCTTCTCAGAGCAGCTGAACTCAGGTTCAGTCTTCCAGGACAGTTCTTCTGAACCCATCCCCTTCTGCAGACGAAGGGTCTCCTTCATTCCAGGGTCAGTAGTGCAGTATTGTAAATACCCGAGTTGGAACAAGTCGGTTCATCCCTCTCCTCCTTATCTGCAGTCAGTTCCCATGAAGTGAATCCTCTCAACCTCCCCTTCCCCCTGTTGCTTGGCTCTTTACTTTGGTGGAAGCTTGTAGCCTCTGTTCCAGGGCCCTGGAGCAGAGTGACAGATCAAAGGCACAGTACTGTACTGACCCAGAAAGGGAGCTGCACGTGCTTTGACCTTCATTTTTCCAATGCCTCGGGTGGCATAAGCATATCTTAAATGCATTTCCTCTGTAAAAGTGTCAATGTTCTTTTTCTCTAGGACAAAACTTACAAAAAAAAATATGCAATTTTTTAATTTTGAGACTGTCCTGTGACTTGTACTCGTCTTCTCCTGAGGCTTGTGAAAAAACCTTTCTTATGTACTTAAGATTATACAGAAGATAGAATAAAGTTAATGCCAACTTGCTCATTACAGTGGCTCTTGTTTACTTTCTGGGGGCACACAGGAACTCGGGTAGGACAGGATGCCCTTTGCTGCCTTAATACTGCTTTGAATACTTTTCCCATGAGGAAGTACAGACTTTCCTCAACTCCCCTCGAATCAAATTGTCAGTAGTTGTCAAATCTCACATTTTTTTTTTTAGTCGGTTAGATTTAAAGTTCTTTATTGATTTCAGTTGCTGTACAAAAGTGCATAAAACAAGCCATTAGTTGAAAACTGTTCAAGCTGTTAATACCCACTTAATTCCTTTTTCCCCAGAAACCCCTAAATTTGGCCCTTTTCCCCATCTTGAAGGAGTGGCTGTAGTATCTTTCCTCTGCATACAGCCCTGTAAGTCTACTTGCTGATCCCTTTGAGAGATGCAGCATTCTTACACTAGTGACTTCGGTTAATACTGCCTTTGTGTCCTGCAGGGAACAGGCGACAGGGAACACACGCAACCCTCTTGCCCAGCTCATCATTTTGCCATCGCCGACTGACCAGCACAGCCACAGCTCTGAGAACTGCAGTAGACTTACCAGGGCCCGTGCAGGATGGAGTGCTTCGGAGTTAGTGCAAGGCTCAGCCCACCCGTATTGTTACACCCAGCCAAATCCCGGTGTCTTACTGCAGTGTAGCAGGTGCCGCTCTGCACGCTGTGGAACTGCTGAGCTAAATCCCCTCCTCTTCCCCTTCCCCAGACCCCCGCAGGCTCGTACACAGAAAGTGCTGTTGCACAGCAGCAGCTGCATTAACTACAGTGGTAGACCCTCCCCAGTGCTCGCAGGGTGCCTCCCCTTAGCTTCACTGGAGGAAGGGGAGGATGGTGGTGTCAAACCACTCTTCTGAGAAGTGCAGGTGATCCCCTTTCACCCCCAGGAACACCAGCTTTCCTGCTTTGTCCATCTCCTGCAGCCCCAGGCGATCCTGCAGAGACAAACAGGACCATAGCTTCCTGGGGCCCTGCCACGGCCAAACACTGGCAAGGGCTGGGGAATTCGGCCCAGAGAAAAGCATCAATGGTCAGAGACCGTGGCTGGCAGGCTAGAGTGGGTTACACCTCTGCTCTTCAAAGCTCCTCCTTGTAGAGAGGGGAAAAAGGCATTTTGGATGACTCTTACAACAAGGCTTTAGAAAGGAGCAGAGTTCATTAAACACATGCTGAAGAGGATCTTGAGCCAGACGTGACGCTGTAATTCCCACTGCCAGAACTGGCCTGGAGGGAAATGCCTTCCCAAACAGCTACTGGCAAGAGGAGGCAATGCCCCAAGAATGGCAGAGATGGTGAGCAGGGCAGTGGGGGTTTAGAGCTCCTCAAGGCCCCGGGGAACACTATAGAGTGGAAAAAGCAGAAACCCCTCAGCCCCCGACAGAACGTACCTCTGTGTACAGCGAGGTCTCCTTCAGTGGGATGGTCTCCTTGGCCTGCCCGCTTTTGTAAAACCCAAACCACTGTCAGAATAAAAACAAGGAAAGAGTTGCTGAAGGCTCCCAGGAGATAAGCAGGCTTTCACCAGCTTCTGCTGCAGACAGTGCAGTATCAAGCCTACGTTTGTGCTCAGCCTGCTCCTCACCAACCTCAAGTTCTGCCACCCAAGGAAAAACCAGAAACAAGCAAGCACGCACCATCATGCCACCCAAAAGCAGCACCCACCCGGCCTGCCTCACCTCAGAGATCGGAGGGTCGACCATGGTATCATTGAGAAATTTTACCATCACAAACTTTTTCAGAGCCATCAGGTTTTTCTTGTACGTCTCATTGATGCACTGATGAAAGCAACAGAGAACAGATCCAAGTCACTGGAAAGCCACTGAGACAGGTCAGGGAAACCACCTGCTCCACCTTGCTCTGCACCTGCAGAGGAAACCCTGGACTGCATCAGCCTAGGAGGCAGGAACGTGCATTTCTGTCACCTGCCTCCCTTGGCTGTCCCCATGGCATTCAGCCTCATCTCTAGGCTGTAAAGAGGGGATGGGCCTCCCCTGCCTCCCCAGGGGAGGGAGAGGATTCACCCACTTGAAAGGCGATGGGTGGACTGAGCACGTGGCATATCTACACCAACCACTCCAAAAGTGACACAGGAACTGCTCTGCCACAGACCAGTCTCATTCATAAATCTACCAGCAAAAACACTTTGGATGCTCCTGGGATGCAGGGCAAAAAACCACTCCCCTTCGAACTCCAGCAAAACTACTGCCAGGGAGAGCCAACATGAAGGAGCTCACTGCTAAGGCATCTGCTCTCCTGCCAGCATTTAATCATCAGCCAGGTCCTTACCCTCTCCTGATTTATGTCGGCCAAAAAGATGCTGTTTTTCCTGTAGTCCTCCTCCTTCAGAGGGTTGTGCCAATACTCTGCTTGTACCAAGCTGGAGAAGAGAGAAACCAAAGATCAGGCCGGAAAACCAGAGCTCCTCGCGTGGGCTGTCATTGCAGCTTGAGGAATACACTCACTGCTCTTGAACAGCTTGCGTGTAGGCGCCCAGATCCAGCGTCTTTCGGATCCAGTCACAGATATGGGAGCTCTCACCAGGACAGCGTGGAAAGCCGTACACGCCTGGGGTATGGAGACATGGGTAACGACTCGGTAAGCCAAACTGAAATCCCTTAATCCCTCCAGCTGGTAAAGAACCACCTTCTTACAGAGCAGTGGCAAGAATTACCCAGGAAATCAGGCAGCCTTTAATCCTGCAATCTCATTAGACAGCACTCCTGTCCCTGGGCACCAAGAACAGATGATGTTCTTGAGCTGGAGAATAGGGGCATGCAGACAAGCGGAATACTGCCCAGCTCGCCTGGTGTGTTCCCAGGAGGACTCAGGATGGTTCCCTACCAGTCTTCCCGCAACACAACAAAGAAATAGACTCAAGCAATGGAATGTCTCAGGGGAGAGTATATGAAATTCATTGCCAGCCACTCTTAACTGTAGACCTCTTAAATTCCATTTCATAGTGCCTCTTTAATCTACTGCAAAAAGCACCTCCCTTTCCTCAGGGTTTTAGCCTTCCAGACATTGTAAAATATCCTCGTGACCCAGGTTTAGTTTCACAAAGGCTTTGCTCTGTAGTTAGAAATTTCTTCTCCTGAAACAACAAATCCCAAAGTATATACGAATTGACAATGAGTTATCTACTTACAAAGGTCCCTTCTCGTGGCCAGTTAAGCGTGACCAAGACAGAAGATAACATAGTTCGCTAAGAACTGGGGCGAAGCAGATCACCAGATTCAGACAGGAACAAAGGGACAGTTTAATTCATAAGAAAATGGTCAGATTTTAGGAGGAGGCCACAAAATTCCTGCCAACAAGAGCCCCCCACCCTTCCCAGTGGTTAGGAGGTGAGGTAGCTTAAGAGGACACTACCTTGGTGCTGCCCCCCAACGGAGATCAAATTGAGCATGGGAGGAGAAGGACACCTCTGGGCCACCGCCCTCCTGGGGAGAAAGATGAAGGTGCTGAGCTGGCGCTCGGGTGGTGCCAGGGCCACCACTGCAGCTTCACAGGCAGCTCTCAGCTTGCCGCTGCGTGGTCACTTAGGTAACGTTTGCAAGGAGAATTAATCCTGCCTGGTAGAGGAGGACTATGAGTAAACCCATTCTTGCCTCCTTTGGAGTGCCCTTACCTTTACAAAGGTGTTTGTCAGTTTGCATCTGCTTAGTAGTTGAAAAGAGTTTTAAATCAGAACCTAAAACCCAACAGAAATCACTAGAAATGGAACAGAGGTGGAAACTTACAGGAACTGGCCTCCTTGGGAGAAGCCCATCGCATTGTAGCCTCCTTTCAGGTGAGGGTCCTTTGCGAGTTGGCTGCACGCCTCCCTCACTTGATCGTTCACGTTCATAAAGAAGCTGTTCTCCATATCCTGATGGATTAGCCAGGTTAGAACGTGTGACTTGTACCTTTACAGTGGCTCATATTATTTTTATCTCTGCAAACAGATCACTAACAGTTCTGCTTTGGAAAGAGGACCGTAACTTTCACAATACGACAGAAATGAAATTCAGGTTTTGAGACTTCCCTTCACCATGTCTTTGTTCCTACTCTGCCTGGCAAAAGGGTCTCATACGGAACAGTGACATTTCCACAAACTTCTTGACAATTTGAGTCCCTTCAGATTTTGTGTGTGTATATAAACATATAAAAAAATTTAAAAATCAAACTTCACCCATCTTCTCCAGATCCCAGAAAATAACATACATTGCACATTATCCTGAGAGATATTTAAAGAAGTTCCGTAGGGCTACATGAAACTGTCAAAACCGACAAAGGCACGGAAGATGTCTGTATCTTTGTTATCCTGAAGATGTATATTGAATAAACGGTTGTAAATCAAAAAGGACAGCAAGGGATAAAGCTCTGCTTTAGCACGGTAGCTTATCACATGCCTTTGTATTACCTGGAGTGGTTAGAGTGCTAATCACAGGATTTGCATATTAATCCAATTTAGAACAGGGATTTGTCTTTCCCCAGTTCTTTTCTGCAGGTATTATCTACACTTCAGTGGTTTCTACCTGTCAAAGCTGTTTACTTCACCAAGAAGAAAAACACGAGCAGGGAAGGCACAACACAAATCCTTGTGGAATCACATTAATCACACAGTAACTATGGCACTTTCAGACACCCACGCTGGCCGCCATCCTGCCAAGCCAGTGACAGCAGAGTTAGTTACCTGGATCACGTTGCTTCCAATCTTGAGAGACAGAACATAAATCCCGGGTATTTTATTCTCCACTATTTTCTTAATGTAGCCCATGCTTTGGGGATTGCAGCAGCTGTCTCCTGCGAAAGGGAACACCACAACGGACCATCACGCCAGGGCCCAGGCCCTCACCTCGCCTCCCCAAACGTACCAAGACCCCGTTGCTGCAACGGGTCCGGGCGCTGCCAACGCACGCCCGGGCCCGGGGGAGGGTCAGCACCTCCTGGCCTCCGCAGTAACCAGCGGTCCAGAGGAAGGGGACACCGGAGCGGCGGCCGGGGGGCGGCCTGCGAGCTCCCCTCGGGCCTGCTCGGGTCCCAGCACAGCCCCGTCCGCCGGCCAGGCCAGCGAAGCGCCACCCCGCCCA